ATGTGCTGCACAGCACATAGTATTTTGGCTTTAAACAGTTTATGTCCTCATACCGACTACACAGCAAATCAAATGAAGATTTTCGGGAGTTGAGCATAGGGCTGTGTATCACCAACAATGTCACGATACGATACGTATCACGATACTAAAGCCACGATACGATATGTATCACGATATGGATCAATTTGGAATTTAAATTTCTTTTGAGCTGAGTTTAGTAACAGTAATATCTGCTTATTGAATAACCAGTGTTATAACAGTTGTGATAACTGAAAAACAATGAGTTAAATGAATAAAAAAAGCTTAGAATGGCTCTTCCTTCTGCTTTTAAAGTCTACCTCAATAACTGAAATGACAATTATAGTGACACTGAACTGAAGCATGTCTACACTGCTCAATGACTAAACAAAACATTCCATAAAAGCAAAAACGGTAACAACTTAAATTTAACTTAGTTTTCTCAAACTCTTTTAAACACCTAGTATTTAACAGGTCTTAAGTGTTGGAATGTGCACCAAACAAAGTCATTTCTTCTACGTTGAAATCATTTTAAATGATTACATTTTCAAATTTTTATGCAGAAACAACAATTGATTGACATGCTCAGGGTTAAGAGAGTGACAGCAGAATATCTCGCTTAACTTCATCATACAACCGGGGAATTGCCGTTTCTGTTAAAAACCTGTATGCTTATTTAAGACATAACTAACTGTGTTTAGAGGATACTTACCAAGAACGAAATTTTTGACATCATTTTGCGTGTTTTAGTCTGTTAAAGCGATATAATCTCGCGAGCTGTATGTGAGGCGGCTTTACTCTAGTCTATATATGCACGCAGAGAAAACCAACTCTCAGAGAGCGCGCAAGTAGGCTACTGAATAGTTTAAAATCGTTTGAATGTTTAAACTGGTAAGACTTAAAGACATGCAAATGGTAAACTTTAGTCACGATGGCCCGATTATGCAAGTGAATATTCCGTCATGTCCCGACTCCTAACCGTGAGCGTGTAGTTTCACCGGCTGCAGCGCTGGACGCTTGCCCGAGACGAGAGAGAGAGAGACGCAGCACTGCATTGAAATCACGCTGTTTGTGAAATTGCGTCTCACAGAAAGTTTTAAAATGACTGATTTGATTTTATAATCTGTGTGGATTCATTTACTAATACTGTTCAAAATCTGTAACTGCAGTGATTCGCGGAATTATCATCTTTACGTGGGTTGTAAATCGGCATGAAACAGCGCGGATGAACACAGTGCTTTGAGGCGAGTGGTGCTGTCAGTCACCGCGCTGTGTGGATATAATGTCATACAGAATCACAGATTCACTTTTTGAAAGTTTGACCAACATAAGAATTTTCATAAGAAAATGTCTTCTGAACAAGTAAGTAAAATCCATTTTTGTTCTGACCAACTAAGGGGGAAAAGCATTCGACATGATAAGCTTCGTTAGATTTAATCAACGCGATTTACAGCAACCGTGCAAATTATAGCCTACTTTGTTCTCAAATTGTTCATGTTAACAACATCAGCATTGCGTGACTAATGTTAAATTTAATGTGTTTTATGGTTAGCAGCTACCTGTGTAGTTCAGAATTCATATTCTCCATAATAGCAAAACGAGAAAGGCACAACAAAGGAAACTCCATAACTGTGTGAATTAAGAAAACGTACTGTTACACGATTGAACTATTGAAATGTCTTACTTGTTCAGCAGAAAAAAGCCGTCTCTTCTTCCGTTTTGAACCCCTTCAAAACACGGAGTTCACGCACTTTTCAAAAGCCCCGCCGATGTTTAAATCCTTGTGTTCGCATGAGACGGTTTCTTTCTCTTTCTCTAGCCACCTTAAATCCGAAGTACGAAGTCTTTTGGGTTTTATAACTGCTGAATCTCCAGTTGACACTGATGATTATACATGATCACACGCGCAGTATAGCCGGCTAGCCGAAACTCCTCCTTTATGTGTACGGGTGTGACGTCATGGCGCAAAGACATGCTCGAATTTCCCGCGGAAACCCACCAGTACCACTGGAATTAAAATCATTATTACAAGCTAACCGTTTTGAATCTAGCTATGGCAAGCAGATAGTTTTGACCACTGGCAGAATACGTTTTTTTTTATATAATTATTTTGGATTTTTTAAACTTAAAAAAGTTACGGACTGGAGCTTTAAAGACAAAAAAAGGTATCAGTCCACATTTGCTTTTAAAAAGTCATCAATCGTAATCTGCCATGAAAAATCGTGTATGATGCATCCCTACTGGTTTGGTTCTAAACATTTTAAATGTGCAAATGTCAAAAACTACATCACATTATCTGTCTAAACAGCTACGACTTCCTCTAGTTTCAAAACATCACAATCTTATTCCTAAATGACAACGATTTACCTGTGCCTATTAAAACCTTTGTCAAAAATCACACTCAAATCTGCGTTTGCGCTGACCGAGAGAGAGCAGTTGTCATGTAGAAGTATGAAACAGCCTTTTCAACCACATAGTATCGTTATTTCTCTTACATAAATTCAAAATATCAAATAAGTACTGGGATACAAGTTTATAGTTCGGATATAAACACTTTTGAAGGTAACTTGACACTTAAAAAACGATTGTATTAAATACACATTGTTAGGCCACTAGGTGGCACCACGTGACTGTTAAAAAAATTTAATTCGTCATTGAATCATTCATTCAACAGATTTGTTGAAAAACGCTGTTCATCCAGTAATGAAACATTTACGAGTCATTGAATCATTCATTCAGATTGTTTTTTTAAATAATTAATTCAAAATAACTAAACATTTTACATAGACTGCCACAAATAACATTGTCAAAGTTCGTGATCTCTATCTGAAACAAAAAAAATCATGATTCTCAATTTATCCAGAATCGTGCAGCTGTAATCACCTCCAGTGAACCCTAACTGTTTTCTGTTCATATCTCTGTGTCCATATTTAAAACTTAAGTTAGGTGCACGGCCAGGGACGTAATGTGCAGTGATTGCCAATGAGACGACAGTAAAGAGTGCTTTACACTTGCCTGATGCACAGACAGGCCAAGTCAATTTCAAATGGCAAGTGTTTGGTCTAAGATGCTTAACTGATGGCAGGCAGCTTTGACAAGCACAGGCTCTATTTATAGCTGATGTGACACTATTTGGGTGCCCTTGCCAACAACCAAAAAAAGCAAATGGACTTTGTAGTAGTAGAGATCCCTACGCTATTATATTCAGCATTCATCCCATGCATGAACTTTGCTTTGGGAGAGGATCTGCCAGTCATGTGAAAGTACAACTGGCTTGGGGCAAGACTTCAGTCCCATGATAACCAATTTATTTTAAGATGACTATCTGTCCTGGAACATATTCAAAGTGTGACACACAGAGCCTCAACTTACTACAAAAAAATACAGATAGTTATGGAGATGTAGGCTTTTAAAAATAACATACAGGGCGAGCTGGTTGCAACTATAGAGATCAAATGATTTTTTTATGACCAATACAATACAGACAACTTTTTTTTATCTTTAAGCATCCATTAATGTACATGCAAAAATTATTTTGATTCGTTTAATTACTGTTTTTGTTACAATAATAACTAGATGATTATTTCACTACAACAATAAAAACATGCATTAAGAACTTATTATGAGAAAGTTGTTTTGTGAACAAGACTGTCTTTAATTTGCTTTTATGACAAATTGTAAAGCAATTGCTATATCACTTGAAAACAACATGCGGTTATTTAAAAATTTGATAAATTATTCAAACAATACAAGTAACTGGTGTTTAGACACTCACCAAACAGTGGCATCGGTAGACCCGGAATTATTAGCAATAATAATATAACCAATTAAAGTTGAAAATAACAAATATCAGTTGAGTGCATAAACTCATATTGCTCAAACCAATGATTAACTATCTCTAAAAACCAGAATCTGACTGGATGGCAATATGACATTGAAGAGGATCTGAAATAGTGAAGTGGACTGAGGGAGTTTATCTGTACTCATGGCAGAAGGGAGGCAGGAGAAAACTAGGTCAGAAACGCCAGTGGTGATGAAGTCAATAAGATAAGCAGTGAGCTGTCAAAACACTTTCATTTTGATGCAAAAAGTCATCACAAGTCACTTTCACACATAGATCACAAGTCACTTACATCACAAGTCACTTTCACACATACTAGACATCATGATTTTTATTTATTTTATTCCTCTACATACCGAAAATGCATCCACTAATGTCCATCATCATTTAACCCATCTCAGTTTTATCCAGTTATTTAAAAAGGTAACTTAAGCTAAACCAAAAAGTTTTATGACTTTCTGTCTTCCTTAAAAACACAAACGTAGATCTTTGGCAGGATGACAGCAGTAGTCACAATTCGCTTTCTTTGTGTTGGAAAAACATATGGCGATTGAGATTGTCATCCTGCATAACATATTTTTGCCAAAACATGTGGACGAGTCGTAACAGAATATTACAATTTGGTGAACGGTCCCTTTAAATTGAAGTGGTTTTGTTTACAACCCAAACAAAAACATCTTCTATTGTCATCTCTCTAGTAAGAACGTGAAACTCGACCAGAACTGTCAACGAGCATACAAAGGATATTGAGGATAATACAAGTCAGAAAGATGAAAACTCCAAACAAAAGCCCCAGTGGTCACACTCACCTCTCAAAGACTGACACAAACAAGTCTGAAAGTGACTAATGCACGGGGTTTAGACTACGTACTTCTATCTCCTCGCGTTCGTCACGCTCTTTATATAAGCTTTGAGACGCGTCTATGGTAATATTCCGGTCTGTTGAATTATTTAAATTCAAATTCCTTTTAAGAAAAAGCTTAAAAACAATAGAAGAACCGTTTCAGGCAACGTAGCAACGAGAGCTAACGTTAGTCGGCTAGCAATACTGACACAAACAACTTAATTAGCGCAAACATACAGTCAGAACACCTTCAAATATATTCTAACACCTACATGTGGATGTCAGATTTTTGCTCACCTGTTTATGTAAGCGACGGGCGGTTGTCCTTCACGAGTGTTTTTGTCGGAGAGGAGCTGCCGTTCCAGAAGACTGACTGACTGACTCGAGCTGGCTGGATTTTCTGGATATCGTTGCGTTTCAAAGTGACGTACCTCGCGTGAGGACGGGAGGCCAATCAGAATACGCCCATGTGGTCTCGTGATCGAGTTTCAGGATAACGGGTTTGACGGGATTTGTAGTCCGCTGGTGACTTGTTTGTTTGTGGGATTCATGCTTGATGTTTTTTTTTTTTTTTAAGTTCACACTCACAGTATTTTTTTAATATAAAATATTATTTTATGTTTAAATATGAACTATTTGGATAATAACTTATGTTCATTAAAATAAGACATTAATTCACAACCATTTGGATATTGTAATTTGAGGATATAAACAAATATTAATATGACTGGGGGGAGGGGTTCCAGTTCTATAACTGGAAAAACCTATGTTGATCGACCACAATTGTGAATATTGTCAATGTCGCATAGACTAATGGTTACAATACTGCTGTCATGGACCTGTGATGAACTGAAGGCAATGATTTTTTTTATAAATGATTGCACAGATTCAAATATTTGCAATAAAGAAAGTTGGAATATGCAGTGACATCCCTCCCTATCAGTTATTCAGATATGATATCAGTGCTAACAGCTTCAGTTGTGCAATATTGGAAGGTAGCCTATTGATAAAAATGATGTAATCAATGGCACAAGTTAAAAATCAAATGCACTATGATCCATATTGTGAAATTATAACTGGGCTTTAGCAATCATAATGCACTATGATCCATATTGTGAAATTATAACTGGGCTTTAGCAATCATCATGAACCAAGACTCAAGTCTGTATGTTGGTTACAAGACTGTCTGTATGTTATTTGTGTGTGTGTGTGTGTGTGTGTGTGTGTGTGTGTGTGTGTCTATATATATATGTGTGTGTGTGTGTGTGTGTGTGTGTATACACACACACAAAAACAATTGTGAAATATTTTTACAATTAAAAATAACTGTTTTCTATTTGAATATATTTTAAAATGCAATTTATTCCTGTGATCAAAGCTGAATTTCAGCATCATTACAGTCAGTTTCACATGAACTTTCAGAAATCATTCTGATATGCTGATTTGCTGCTCAAGAAACATGTATTATTATTATCAATGTTGAAAACAGTTGTGTGCATTTTTTTCCAGGATTCTTTGATTAACAAAGTATAAAAGAACAGCATTTATCTGAAATAGAAAGATTTTGTAGCATTATAAATGTCTTTACTGTCACTTTTGATTAATTTAATGCATCCTTGATGAATAAAAGTATTAATTTCTAAAAATATTAATATATATATTGACCCCAAACCTTTGAACAGTAGTGTATAATGTTGCTGAATCAAAGAAATGCAGCGCAGAAGAGACTTCTTTTTTTATCTTTTTTTTTTATCTTACAGATCGAAATCTTTAGAATAGTAGTGTGTGTGTATATATATATATATATATATTGGGCTATATATATAAATATAGTGCGAACTTTAAGCACTATTTTCAATAGTGGTCTCAGGCTGTGGGTATAATTTTCCTGTGGTGTTTTGACCTACATGAGCTTTCTGGAGAATTTCCAGTCTAAACAGCTCAGGTCATGGTTTGTCCTTTGACCATACAAACCCAATGAGATCCCAAACAAGTGGAACACAAGCCAGTGTGCTCCAGCCCAACATTAAATGAAACTGATAGCCATCCAAAAAACAAAAACACTCACCTAATTGCAAAACAGATGTTAGATGAGGGCATGCAGACAGATCCCCACCTGTCAATACTTATTGTTCCTGATATTGGGCCAAAGTCACTGGAAACTCTCCCAACCTGCACATGGTTCACATGTTGTGCCAGTATCTGTCTAATTGCATGACAAAACAAGAGAACTGATCTACTAATCATGCGGTGGGAACTGCACTCATCAACAGCAGTGAAACTTATCCGGACCTGTGTAAAAGAGGGTGTGAGGCAAGGAACTGAAATCTGAATTGAGATGTTTGTGTTTGGTTAGTTTTAAAGAAAAGCAAGTGCCACCCCACCCAGCAATTCTCCAAAAAGCACCAGTTGAGCAACTTTGACATCCATAATTTTGTGGTTCCTGCCTTATGAAGAATATTGGAGTGAGTGTAAAGGTTGCATTATATAGGCCTAGTTTAGCTTACAACACAGATAAAGTACCAAAAATTATTGATGTAGTCCGTATCAGTAGAATAAATATACACATCATTTTTATGACTTATAGGCCGTGAGACAGAGGGTTGATTGGTACCATTTTGAGGGATTAAACCGCATGGTGATTTTTATGACCCTGTATTTTAAAAAAAATGTGTGATAGCATTAGATTCAAGGTAGTTTTTGGTTACGGAGGACGATTTTCAAACATATGTCAAGAAAAAGGATAAATTAATTTATCTTTAAATAAATTTTAAATTTGATAAAAAAAGAATAAAATTTTATCAAATTTAATACATTTTTATAATACAAAAATTATAATTTTTTTTTAAATAAATTTTTAAAATTATAAAAGGATAAATTTTTCTCTCTTGTAGTCACTGAACACCTTACCTTGAGGTAGGATGATATAAGTGTTGATTTCTAATGAAAGCTACCATGGATCGGATGCTATCACACATTTTCCAACACTAGAGATGTGTACCTTCATGAAAATCAAAAAGAAATTTAATCCCTCAAAATGGTACCGGTAGCCCAAATTTGGGGTCCCGTCTCATGGCCTATTATGCACATATTACTTTATCCCTGATCAGCATATTTTGTATGTCTCTCTTATCTGACACGCTCAGTTCAGAGGTGGGTTCCACCCTAAGTGTGCTACGAAGTGCACTTAAAAGGGTATGTCACCAACTTAAGGGAGATTTCAAACCGAAGCAGGTGTGTTTGTATGGGGCTGTTCACGGGTGTAAAGTGCGTGAGACGCAACGGTTACAAGTCAACTATCATGATTACGGGTTAAATAAGATAAAAAGACATAGGATTATTTAAATTAACCAAATTACGTTTATTTTTATATTAATGATCGCAACAAATTTATCATTCAGTTTAGGGCTTTTGAATTTGACATTAGATTAAGTGAAATTTATAATACATTTTTATCCAGTTGTATTACACAGACGTAGGCTACATTAAATGAAAGTGTTGGAATTTATATTTTATTTATTTACAGAAGAACACTGTGGCATCAAACCTTAAACTCATCTAATATGCCTGACTTGTGTTTTGTCTGTGTTTGATGTCATTGCAGGGTGTTTGCGAATGAATGCATTTGGTCAAGTGAAGTGACCAAACTTCAACAGATAGCCCGTGCTCAGGGAGTAGGGCGCAGTGAACACTGCATAGGGGCCGTCAATTGGAACGCACCCGAGTTCATGGAGCTCATCTGAATCAAGTGTGTCAGATTAGAGAGACATACAAACCGTGCAGAGCGGGGAGGCGCGAGGACTGGAATTAGAAACCCCTGCTTTATGCAATACATAACCCTGGTTATAAATTTGTCATTACACAAAGCAAACAGAACGAACACAGAGAGCAAAACAGAAATAAAGCAGCTAAGTAGGTAATAATAATCACTATTCATATTTTTAATATTACTGGTTTGAATGAGGGGGAATACACACAACAAGAATATGATCACAGGGCAGCAAAAAACTGTGGAGTGACGTGTCAAAGAGATTGTAAGTGTTATTTGCATATATGACTGACTGTTATTTACAAGTGTAGTTTTCCTCCTAAACAAAAGATCTCATTGTCATGTTCCACGGCCTGACAGACAGAGAGTCGGCTATGATCACCCGTTCCATCCAGTGGCCAGTAATATCTTCTCTGCTAGCATATAAATCCCCAGTAAAAAGCTTCTTTATCAAAAAATAATAATCAGAACAATACATATGATGTATAAAATGAGAAGCAATTAATAAAATATAATCTGAACCACTAGTATTTGGTTACAATAATAGTTTTTGCAGTCCTTATGTAGCCTTGATTTTTTTTTTTTTCTTCTTCCTATTTTCAGTTACCAGACACACATTCATTACTGTGAGGCTTTGAACCGTTTCAACCAACAACGACAAAGACAGTGACAGAACAAACACAATATTCTCTGCTCTAAATTAGATGGAACTCCCAGATATGGCGTACAGAAATGCATCAAACAGGCTTTTGAAAGCCTATAAGAAGGATACAACAGCGATTTTGTAAGAATAAAGGGGAGTTTTGTGTGTGCATGTGTTGCTTGATGCTCCGATCCAGGCAAAAGTGTTCAGTCCAACTCCTTCCTGGTTTCATCTTTCACACGTCTCTCCAGGTTTCTTAGAAGGAAATGCTTGTGTGAAGGGTAACAGGCAGCATTCTGTTCTTGTCATATCTCAAAGATTATTATGACATCATGGAACACAATGTCCAATAATTCCGCCTTTTTCTGACTCAAGGTTCTTAAGAGCTCTAATATGGGCAAGGTGGAGTGTGTTTGTGGAGGTGCGCTCAAGAATCAGCGGCGAATCGAAGGTCTGGAAAAGGCAATGGGTGATGTGCCCTGTTGTTCTCCGTCCCCTTTCTTGATCCCTCTAGAGTCTCTAAAGAGTTTGTAGGCTCTTCCTTTTAGAACGAGCAAAGAGTGCGTGCCTCTCTGAATTCAAAGACGGAGAGAACAACAGCTCGAGTCAGAATACATCACACCGGTGCCTCCTTTTCATCAATGACGTCCAACTTTTGATTCTTGAGTCAGAAAAGGTCATTAAATTACTATCAACGGCACACGTACACTTACTTATATACTTTCATTTGTTGCTATTTAATATATCATTTTACATTTCATTATCTCTAAGTTCCCCCTCTGGGTCCGTTAAGGGTCCCGTGCTTCTCCCGCTAATTGCTCAGTGCCTCTCCAGGGCGTCTGTCCCGTTCCCTAGGCTGCTACTTGCACACGAACTGGTCTACGAGCGACGTGCAGCGTTTGCACTTGACGTAGCAGCACCAGTGGAACTTGCAGTGGCAGCGCTCATGTTTGTAGGTCTTGAACTGGTCGTAGCCGCGACCGCAGCACATGAGCTCGCAGCCGTCCATGCCCTCCGAGGTCTTGTTGCACAGGCGGCCCTGGGTGCCCAGAGAGCCGGTGGTCTCGTTTCGCAGGCAGTAGTCCGGGCTGGGGTCAGTGTAGACCAGGTCCTCGCTCGTCGGGGTGTTAAAGCGGTTGTTGACCAGCTCCAGCTTGCCCCGTCGGGTGAGGCGCATGGCGGCGGCGCTGTCGTACTTCTCCTTCAGGAACTCTCCCACGCGACGGAAGTCGGCCAGCTGGAGCCAACAGGTTTTCAGACTGCATGAGCCGGAGACTCCGTGACACTTGCATGCGACGTTGGCCAGATTGTACACTGCCTGTGAGTGGAGAAAGAGACGTGGAGAAAAAATTTGAACTATATTGTGAGAATATGACAATGTAACTTGAAAAAAAGAATCAGCACTAAAAGAATAAACCAACCTTATCTCTAGCACCAACCCTTTCCCAGTCAAGATATGCTTATACAACTTATAAGAAATATCATCAGACTGATGACATCTACTGTTGTTAGGTATACAAACAAGCACTAAAGGAATAGGAATAACTTGTTTTTCAAACTGGTCAGCTAGGTAAAACAGGTAAACATAGAACTTGTAATTTCCGATTTGTGATAGTTTGGAATATTAAGTAGGAATGGGTTGAAAATTACAGACTAAACGATAATACTTTGCTATACATGCCATAATTTACCCCACTAAGTGTTTACGAATTTACAGTATGTCTTTCTTGAAGTTTCCTATATAATTAATGGTATAAAAATGGTATAGTTACCAGGTATTAATACAATTTTATTTATTTATTTTTATAAAAAAAAAATTTTTTTAATAAAAAATCATATGAAAAGATAGGGGAAAATAATGTGAGAATGTGTGGAATAATAATAATAATAATAAATACTATTTTGTAAAAAAAAAAAAAAAAAAAAAAAAAAACAGTATAAAAAGTTAAATGTAATATATATTTAAAATTAGTGGGTATGTGAAAAATAAAATAAAATAAATAATATTTTAAACACTATTTTAAACATTAAACAATAAAAGTAAAAATTAAAATGATAAATTAAAATGTTTTTTTGAGGCCAGTGAAACTAAATGCATTTAGCTAAATGCTAAAAACATGAATGATAGTTATGCTATTACTTATGCTATTACTTATATTTTTTAAGAGATTGGAAGCAATCACTCAGAACACCCTAGCAAACACACAGCGTGCTATTCTTGCATTTTTTTTTTTTTTTTACAATGTCATTAGGGTACACAGCCATAGTTCTAAGCTGCAAAGTAAGCCCTGGTGGAACAACAGCTCCCTCTAGAGGCCAAATGAGTTCAGTGCACCAGCCTGTTTGAAGTTAATGGGGCCTCCAGAGGCCTTTGAGTTTACGGTCCCTTTACAAACAGAGAGCCGCAGTGAGAGCGTTTGGAGGACAATGGGATGAATAGTCATTCTGTTCTAGAACACACAGAGAGCCCCGCGTCCACTGACAGCAGACTTCCTGCTGATTAAATTCAATGAAACCCCCAGCTGAATCAATAAAGAAACGCTCGACATATTGTCCTACTAAACCAACGGCTGTTCTTCCCTTTCCTTTTTAATTATTTAACATGTAACATTAACAGACTATTACTTTTCATTAACCACCCACAACATACAAGTGCGTCACGTTTGGCCGACAAACACAAAAACAAGGTAATGAGTACAATCTCTTTTCCACGTCTGGGCTCAATCAAGGTTGGGTGGCCAGTGTGGTTTTTTCCGCCTCGGTGTGTGACGTGTCTTGTTTGCTGTGTCTTTTGTGTCTGTTTAGTGTCCTGAACGAGGGAACATTAAAGGCATTTCTCTTTCTGTTTCTCTGTCATTTAAGACCGGGCAGTGCTCCTCCCTTTAACACCTCACGTGAGAACATTTAACGGTCGTCTTTGAGGATGTGCTGCCCCGACTCTTCAACCCCCCTCCGGTGGCAGCTGTTTAAGCCCCCTTCCTTTTACCTGCTCGCACACAGACATTAAGGGGAGTTCCAACACCTTTCAAGTCTCTGTCATCACCGGCCCAACCTGCATACCTGTCTGCAATCCAGAAACAACACACACACACACACTTTCCCACACAGCAGCGGCCCACATCACGCAAGCCATTCTCGGCTATTTACTATCTTGCGTGTCAAGCTGCAGTTCCGCCACCTCATCTAAATGATCTCACACAAAAGGGTTTTTGAGCATTTCTATGCAACATGTGCGCCCAACTGAAACTGTGTTCACATAAAGGCGGCCGTTTCTCTCTTTTATTCGTCCTCACTTTCATCTATCTCCTTTTCGCGCCCCTCCTTTTCACTCTCTGTCTCTCTTTTTTCTCTTTTTGGCCCAAGTGACCAAGGTGTGATGGATAGACAGGCTCATCGGTGCGTGGAAAGGACACGCATGCGGTGCTGTGCACAATGGAGCGCGCTCAGACGGGTCAGGGTCACTGCTGGGCGGGGTCGGGGCGGAGCAAGGAGACGGCAAACAACCATCCCTGGAGGTGTAGAGATAAGAGGACGGGAAAAAGAATCTGAAGTAAACAAATACAAATCTCTCTGAGCTATGCTAAGAAAATGTAGCAGTTTTCAAGGCCACAACAATGTGTCTGTAGTAATGAGACTTTTTAAAGCAGCTGTATATATGTGTGTATTTTTTTTTTTTTTTTTTTTTTTACATGAGGTTTAATCAGCTCCATGTTGGGGACAAAACTGTGGACTGTTTCTGGCAAAACATTAGTTTGGGGGCATTCTCAGTAGTAAAAAATGATTCATTAAGCATTTATCATATATACACACCCACACAAACATTTATAAATTACAATTAAATCTGTTTATTTTTTAAGTAAAATGTAAAAAAAGACTTATTTTTTATTCTTTATTACTGTTTTACATTTTAGAATAATAGTAAAGTATAATTCACACACACACACACACACACACAAAACTATTAAAATATGAGTGAAAACTATTTTTATTTTATTTTCTATTTTACTTTAACTTTTTAATGTTTATTCGTTCATTTTTTATTTTTATAGTCTTTAGTTCATAGGCATTTATCAAAATAGTGTTTGCTGTTGCTAGTTGATTATTTTACTTATTTAATTTTAGATAACAGCTTTTGAAAACAGTCTTGAAGGAATTCCCATTTATGCTGGACTCTTGTTTGCAGCTTTTCCTTCACTACATGAGTTTTCCAACTCATGTTTTGTGAAGTTTTGTAAAGAAATTCCATGTCTATTTGTCAACGAAGCCAATTTTAGGCACTTAATAATATGTCTATGTAAAAACTTCAGATCAAAAGTTTAATAAGATGACATGATTCAGTCACTTTGGACTGGTAGAGTAGATAAAAAACGAGAAAAGTATATGGTACGTCCTCATTTAGATAGCTAAGTAAATATGCGTGTCTGTGAATACAAAAGCATTCAAACATTAGTAATGCAGATAAATTGAGTGAGACAGAAAGCCTTAGCAATGTATTAAAATACGTTACGCCTACGTGTGTGTGTGTGTGAGTGAGTAATAAAGTGCTTTAGATTAAGGTGTGTGTGTGTTTGTCTCCGCTGCAGTTGATTTCTAATGAAAGACACACAGAAGCAGGTGATCTTTATAGAGGGTGGAGGCCTCCTCTCTCTGTACAGTCTGGGTCACGAGCCTTTGTGACCCACAGCACCGGAACCACACGCACCATCTTTCACTAAACCCGTCTTATCCCCCCGACTCCACACCGAGGGGCATCCGATACGCTTCTGTCACCTCCACAAAAGCCCACCAAGACCAAGCCTTTCCAAGCAAGACAAATCTCCAGCAAACAGGCTCCGCAAAAAAAAGGAACGCAAGGAGTATCGGGGGTCACACCACACCATCGAATCCACCCACGCCAAAAAAGCAGGTGCCAATAACTCAAAAAAGAACAAAAAGGACCAAGTTGAGGGTGGTCGAGTAGCTACTCGGCGTCACCGAAAGATATAATCTCCCCAGCATGCACGTACAGAACATGTCCAGACCTTGACCTCCTCACCTCAGGGAACCTCCAGGAGAAGAGCCAGGGATCTCAGATGTGCCATAACTCCAGAAAAGAGGCCCTCTCTTCTGTAAACACCTTAAATACACTCATCTTCCCTAAGACAAACATATGTGGCGGAGCTCTGCGCACGGCAAGCACCCACATCGGCAGGCAAATGGACTTTTTATGGGGCCGCTTCGTTTTAAAAGCACTCAAATAAATAAGTGGAAAGAGGATGGGATCGGGGTGTGGTATGACAAAGCGTGGGACTCGCAAGGGGACGGAGGAACGCATTCCAGTTTGATGGTGTGTTTTGGCAGGATGTGGTGACATTCTGCAGTGCGTTCTCCGAGAGGGCGGCCCGCTCCGGTTTTATGCCCACCTGAACGTGGCAGGGGGGCCACAGTTTGCCGGAGCCAGACACACACACTCACATAGTTGGAAACGTTCCAATAATCATTCCACCATATAGCTGTTCTATAAAACAGCAAGAAGCCATTCAACAAGAAAATGTGCAGTGTCAGAGCGTTCCTGACTAAACAAATTTGCCACACATCACCTTATAAAAAAAAAAACACAAAAACTATTTGTTCTGGCATCGACTACTCCATTAAATGAATAAAAGGGAGATTGGATGGGAATCTGAGCTACATGCTGAATGGGACACTAGAGTAAGAGCAAATGAGTAACATGGGACGCTTTAGTGGTCCCGGGGATCGGTGGTGCTTTGACCTCCTGACCCCCAGCAGACTCTATGGGCGCTGGCCTAGCACAGGCGCCATTTGGTCACTTTCATTAAGTTAGCTCTCTCCCTAGTCTGTAACCTAAAATAGATGCCGTACAGACCACTGTTATTTTTATATAAAGCTAAAGTCTTAATGACTAATTAATCATCTAACAAGTCGGGTAAATGCCATGCTCTAACAACAGGAACTCTCTCACAAAAGTTGTGTCTTTAAATTCATCCAATTAAAACTGAATGTCTTAGCATTGTTTCTCATGCTTTTCTGAGTGTCCTGCCACAAGGATAAAGTTTTTACAACCCATTTCAAGATAGTCCAGGAAATAAAAACGTGCATTCAGACCCCTGCATTGGTTTCCATTCAGTCTAGCTGATTTAGTCTCATGTAAACAAACACCCCCCTGTGCCAGGTGAATCCAAACCAGCCTAAATTAGCGGTCACATTGGCGAAATGTATGAAGCACAACTCAACCACTTTCAAAACAAGAAGCTGTCTGTTGGTCAACCGAAATCTGCATGAGGAAATCTGCCGCCCTCCAGCAAAATTCCCAATTGCATGGATTCCTATTGAACTGACTGGATTTCGCCAGCAAAAACTTGCAGGGCAATTGTAAATCTTAACTATACAGGGCTTCCTTAAGATGAATTAGCTGACATTGGCTAGTCAATTTTGAAAATATGTTATTGCACATCCCTAAAAGTTATATATAATTACTGTAGACCACACACTAATCCCCTTTTAAATTTTTACCTTTGAGGACATCTCCAAAGGAAGACTTTGTCAGATTTAGCTAACTTTTGACAATTGTGGTCCCAAATTTTAGCTAAGTAAACACATTCACTCAACAACAGAGGGAGGATGAAGTAACTGTTTGTGGTGATCTGCAGGAGACATAAGGGCTGGCTTTGGTTTATTCACGCACAAACATATTTAAAGCCGTGTTTATCCATTCAAGTGTACAACAGGTCTCTTATTTCTCAATATCACAATAGAGGTTGCAACAGCCGTGATTCATTCGCTACGCATTAAAGAAACACACCTTAACCAAACCAATGCACTGTAGACTCTTGCACAAAATGAAATTAGGTGGATCATGGTGGATTTAACGCCCACAGTACGGGACACTTACTACTATCTGATCATTTCCATCTATCAATAGGTCAATCATCTATGTGTGTGTTCATTTCCTCACCATTCTCCCAGCTTCATTGTTCTGTAGATTCATAAGCGTGCCTGCATGCTCGACCGATCCACGAGGGTAGTTCTTCTCGCGCTCACGGGCGTCGACAAACTCCCGGGCGAAACGGTAGCCGTAGTGGACGTTGTCCCCGCAGCCGCCCCATAGCCAGTCTCTCGGGAGGTCCCTGGGACGAGCCGCTCGGCTGCAGCCACAGGTGGAGAGCTCGCCCTCACGGCACGCTCGACTCACAGCGTTCACGACACCCGCTGCACTGATGGCGTAAGTAAAAGCTGTTTCTCTGCTGCCTGCAGAAGACAAGCACAGAAAAACACATAATTAGGACATGGACGACATTCCATGGGCTGGAAATCGCTTTGTTAAATCATCCACAACTCTTCAGTATACTATTTTTCTTGATTATTCACTTAGGAAGTAAGGCAGAGAGTAAAACAACTCATTTCCAGAACCCCACAGATGGTAACAATCTTTTTGGTAAGCCCTGCAGTGAGAGATAAGATTATCAGAAACGTGTGCATGTACATGGACAGCACTGATTCATTATTCCATTGTTATATATATATATCTCAATGAAAGTATATTAAAACACAAGCAAAAAGAGGACTGACAGATTTTCCAGTTTTGGTACAATTCAGATGAGGCATATGATAACCCGCAAAGCTTTCCTGCCAAAGAGGCGCTAGGTTTATAAAAATTTGTGCTCTTTTTCCGCATCTGTTGTGCATGTGTTACCTGATTTTTTCCCCCCATCTAATAAGCCATCTGGAATGCAGATTTCACATACCTCAACAGCACAGGCAATACAGTTAATAGCATTTAACGTTTAAAAGCTGTTTAAACATGTTAAAAAGTGCTAGTACAACCATATTTAGAGATAAGCAGTTTGTTTCAATGCTTAGCGACACCATAATTACAAGAGGAAATTTGTCACACAAAACGTTTTTAAACTTCAGGCCCTGAGAATTCCTTTTTAATGATCCGGCCTTCCTCAATGCCTTAATGAAAGTCAATTTGCCCCTGACTACGGACCACAAGTAACTGTTCTTTGCATTATAAAAATAAATAAAAATAAATGTAGCACAGGAGCATATAGCTTATAATGTTAGGGATTTAGGGACTTTAACAATAAATTATTATACAACAATTTACTTGATTTTGTGTGGGTTTTAGAGCACCAACTCCGATTTTAGTATATGTAGGCCTATAAATTAATACATTTTAGGGCTAAACTTTAGGGGGCTGATTTTTTTTTTTTACAGTGAAAGACAGACTAAGATAGATAGATAGATAGATAGATAGATAGATAGATAGATAGATAGATAGATAGATAGATAGATAGATAGATAGATAGATAGATAGATAGATAGATAGATAGATAGATAGATACATTTGCAATATATACAAAGACAGAGAAAATAATTGCAATATTTTAAAATAATGTAAAAATTCGGTGCCGGTTTTACGGCATCAAACTCACAATGCGTCGCGTGTAAACGGGTGTGAACCTGCATTCCAGCGATGCGCCTATTGAATTTGGAGGGCCACTTTTATTGGCCTTTGGTGCCCGGACTTCAAATAGAGTCCCGGATATCCCGACTCTGTGTCATCGTGTCATTGCATTTCAAAAGCGACTCTGGACAATGGCCCGACTAACACCTCAATATAAACCTCGCGATTGACTGCAAATAAGTCCCGTGCTATTTGGGGGGCACGATAGGGGGGCATGTCGCGTCTTACACCTTGTTTCACTGATGAGCGGAACTAACACTCAATTGAGGCAACGAGCGCTGTCTTCTGTGAGAGAACGACACGCATACGAGCATGCATTCAAGTACACACTGCTTCATACATACTAGAAGAAATGTCAAGAGCAACTTTCTTCATTTAAATATGCTGTATAAAAGATCTCTACACATCTAAACATCATGCATGCATAAAATAATATAGAGCACCCATTTAAATAAAAAGCAATGTTATATGAAAATCAACAAAGTGATGTCAAGAGACCAACGCGTAAATCTCACGGGGAGCGGTTCGAGTCATGCTGAGAGCGATCATCCATTAGCAGGTTACATTTAAGCTATGTATAACAAATATTCAAAACTATACATTTATCAAAAACGTTTATCAAAAAGTATGCGTTATATACATACCTAGCCTATATATTACAGTGGTTTATAACCACAGTTTCACTTATTCCTACTCTTTTCACAATTAAAACCAGTGGGACAACATTGTTCAGTTGCTCAATAAAAAGTTGCAAACAATAAAGTAGGCTACCATAAATTAATATTTGTTTATGATAATCAAATAATATATGCATATTTCCATATAAATGTTTCATTTAAAATAACAATATCAATCAAGTGATTGAAAATTAGTCTATATCTTATAACCACTTATATTTTTACATGCATTGTGATTATGATTTATATGACTTTAAAAACATGAACAATCAACCCTTTAAATAATATACCAAATGTACATTTATTTTCACATGTTTAATGTATTCCTTTTATCATCTTTCAGGGGCAAACTGGAAATAAACAACTGGTCATGTGATTTACATCAGCCACTTGAAATCAAGACATCTGAGCTTTTATTTATAGCTGACAACTCTAAGCAAAATACATTAACTTCCTTGAAGACAATTGTAACTCAAGAGCAGTGGGCTCAAATGTCATCAGAGGGATTTTCAAAGCGGCCTGCTATATTATTGTGCATTTGATCAATTTGTTTTAAATTGCATGTACATTTTAAGCATCATCACGGCGACTCACCTATCTGCATGACGCGGCCGAACACTGAAGTGTTGTTCACTGTGCTACAGTTCCATCGCCTTTGCCTGAACTGATACTGACACTCCTTGATGCCCGTCTTCGCCCCCTCTCCAATATAAACCATATGGTCCTGATAGAGCTGGCAGAGCTTCCTCTGACCCTGAGACAGGCCTGTCAGCTGGCTGCACAGAGGCTGTGCTCCAATGATGTACATCTCCGGTCTCTGGATGGGGTTCATGGCTAATGACCTGAGAAAGTAAGACCAATGCACCGGCCATCAAATATGCACAACTAACCTGCAGCATACATGACACAAAATAGTGTAAAATTTCATTAGGGCATACTATACTGGAATCTGGACTGCATGTGGGTTTTTTTTGGAGAATGCAAGGTGAGATAGCAGTAACCTTTGTTCTTGTGCTGCCAATAGACTTTTTTTTATAGATAGAAGTCAAACTGTAAACCTTCATTGAAATAATTATGAACCAATTTAATTTCAAGCAAACTCGTTTTATGTGTTAGTGAGTTAAGGATTGCACAGCGTAAATGGTGTCTGTGGAACTTATTATCAAGTTGAAAACTGTTTGAAAAACCTGTTGTCCTCAGGACACGAATGCCCTTATTTACAAACAGTTTGACCATTTGTTGCCCAAGGTAAATATTGTGACAAAGCCTCCACATTTGTTCTCAGTGAATAGTTTTCTTATGCATTGTTTCATCCTCCACAAACAACGTAATATGGTACTTTCGAAATATACATTTGCAACTTAGAATAGTTTGCAATTACAAGCTGATCTTACCACCATGAGTTGGCGACCACCAGCAGCTGTGAGTTGCAGACAATGAGGGTCACTGCCAGAAGTAGGTGTCCTGGGTTCATTCTCACATCCATCCTTCCTCGGCCAAGAAATGGAAATGCGAAGAGCCTCCTCTGGGGAAACATTTAGGAAATGATAGTAATCCACTTGGAGGAGCCGCTTCCTTTAGCAACTTGACAAAAAATAAAGTCTCTTGAAGTGCAGTGCCTCTGAATCCCCTCAATCTTGCCCCAGCTCAGTTTTAAACACCAGCTGTGCGTAAAACACCTAGATGACCTGAGGCACTAACGGAGTCTGACATCTGTTGAGAATGTTCTTTTTAAAATCCGCTTCATAAAACGCAACGAAAGTGGATGTCGGTGTGCAATGGATATAAGCAACATGGATGGAAGTTAAAACGAAAGAAGAAAAGACACAAGTGCATCTGGTGGTGATAGTCCAAACTCTCTCCCCCCCTATGTCTCTGCCGGTTCTGTCGATATGAACTAACACCTCTGCGCTCCGATGGCACAACTTAACCCTCCCTCCTTCTGTCGCACTTCTCCGCACCCCCTTCGTTTTGACGCGGATACAATGGAGAGGAGGAGGAGCGCGAGGGGAGCCGCTGCGTGGTGAGGAATTTGGGGAGGCCAAACAACACAAGAGGGCAGCAGATGAGAATCCGATTCACAAGAAGAGCTTTGATTCTCCGGTGCGTAAGAGCGCGTTTTGGACTCATGGTAAATTAATCTACACTGCGTTTATTGGGAGGATATACTTCAAATGCTTGCGCACCTCAAGCCATTTAAATTAAAATCTGTTTCGGACAAAAGTCATAATGGCAAAAGTTACACACACACACACACACACACACACACACACAGAGCGAGCGCGAGAGGGAGAGATGGATAAAAGAGTTAACGGCTCGGAAAATATCAATCTTCCATCAAAGTTCATATGCGTGTAAACTCCATTCTTTTCAGTTCTATAGTTTACCGCAATAAATCCGAACAAGGGGGGAACAAAAAAATCCCAGTTTGACATAAAAGCCACGCATGTGATCTTTGGCAGTTCAACTCCTGATACCCTCTAAATCACTTCGCACTTAAAAGACGCAGTTGCATTAAACGCACTTGGGCATGAGATATCCACTCACACTTGAAAGCAACCAAGACTAAACCGTGCTATAATGTGGGGAAATTTTTATCAGCTCACCCGTTTTAGATGAATTTACAGCTGATAACCAACATTGCAGACATAAACAGCCACATTGCACTCTATCCTTCAGAAGTGCGGTGTGTAAGGAATGCAAATACAATGAGTGTTTTACAGCTCCAGACTCTTGGAGAGGTTTGGGAGTTATATAGAGAGAGCCCTGTGCCATTCCAGCATCACCCCCACACCTCTCTTTTGAGTGCCGTCCTACAGACATGTCAGAATTGGTGTGAGAGACGCCACTCAATTTCCGAGCAGTCTGTGCATGATAAAGCGCCTCTCCGGACCCTTTCATCTCCTCTAATCCACACGCCCAGCTATCACCTTTACGCCTCCCGTCGCAGACCTGGGCTCGTCTCCATGCCCCTCCCTCCCTCACTTACGCACAGAGAGCAATAAACCCAATTTATTTTACGTTACGTTATGATCGGCGTGTTACTTATAATTACTGTTTTTGTAAATGCAATGTCAAAATCAGCATGCCTAATAATGTCATTGGATTTATTTGGCAATACTACTAGGTTTTTTTAGGACACTGGTTGAAAGGGGAAATTGTACACACACACACGCACGCACACACAATCCCAAATCCCGTGTGTGTGTGTGTGTACAATTTCCCTCTCAACCAGTGTCACAAAAAATATCCTAGTAGGCCTACTGTATTGCCAAATAAGTCCAATGACATTAATATGCATGCTAATTTTGACAGTGCATTTACAGTAATTATAAGCAACACACCGACCATAATGCACACAAACCTATGAATGATGTGGTTAGTGGTTCATTTGAGTTCACATGTATTAGTAGTCAGGAGCTCCACCTGGTGTACTCATTACGTTATTACAACACATAAAATAAAATAGAACAAAATTAAATTAAATAGAATCTTATTACATAGAACAAACTAAACGAATAAATATCAATATTTTTAAAAACTTTCTGATGAAACTAATGACAAATGTATTTTAAATATGTAAACTACCACGCTTATTGTTAATAATAAATGTAATTAAGAAATTTAATTAAACGCAAATATCAATATAAAGTGGAATAAATGCATCTCTGATATAAACGTACATAATAATGATTACAAAACAACAACAACAACTATTATTAATTAATTAATAAGAATAATACAATCATGATTACATTTCTAAATTCTAAAACCCTCTTCTATAACTTGACTAAAGTTTCTGTAAGAGTCCATTTCTATCATACATTCACAATTGAATGCCCTGACGGTGTTACGGCATCTTATCACATGGTGGCGCACTTTAGCAAGAAATTAATAGAGACAGCAAAACTAGCAATTGCATTTTCTCACGAGGTATATATGCAATCGCAGCGCAACCCAGCGCAATGCTAGTGTAACACACGACTGATGCCTCATGCTTATCAGTATGCATTAAGCTCTTTGTATGTGCTATGAAAAACATGCACACAAGAGAAAGATTCCAATTTTTTTTGAGTTGTCAAAGCTCGTGCATAAATTCTTGCCTGTAATTTTATCCTGTCCTGCGAGGTCTTTTGAGGTAAAAGCCATTTCGACCTGACAGATGCTCTCCAGCAGATAACATCTGACTGTGAGCAATAAAACTTGTAAAAGAAGCTAAGTCTTAGGGATAAGTGTGCTCACATAGATCACATATGCATTGCTTAAACATGACTTATTCTGCCCGAAATTGGTTCTAATAATACACATTCCAACGTGACCTTAAATGGACACATTCTCTCTCTGTCGGACTATTCTATGCCATCTGTGCCGCTGCCAGCTATCGTGGGTAAATGATGACATCACTGGCACGCATGAATAGAATCTGAGCATCCTGCTCGTTTTCAGAATTGGAGTCTGTCTTCATATGGGCTTTGCAGATTTGTACAGACTTATATTAGCAGAGCGGTTGTTGGTGCTGGCAGATCTGTTAAAGAATGATAATTCTGTCATTATTTACTCGTCCTTATGTCACTCCAAACCCGTATTATTTCCTTGCTTGCATGGAACACAAAACAAGATGTCTAGCAGCATTTTGATGCTTCTCTTTTCCATACAATAAAAGTGGATGGTGATCAATGACTTAAGCTCCAATAAAGACAAAATGACCATGTAAGCAGCATAAAAGTAGTTTATGAGAGTCAAAATCTGCCAAGGGGGTAATAGGCCTAATGGAACAACAGCTTTAAAAAGGGATTTCACTATTATTTACAACAGGATCTGCATTTTCGTGGGTTTAAATAACATTTTTGCTATAAAATAAAAAATAAAAACAACTTTGTGCATCAAAACCACTCCTTTACTGGTATTTTTTTTTTTTTTAAAGTCAACAAATTTGCGACAGCTGAATGTAACATTTCGGACATGCCAAACAGGTAAGTCTCTGAGTAACTTGTAAAAAGTTAACATCTCCAGCATGTTTTATAATTACCCAAAAATCAAACATAGTTCACCCCTCATGCACGTTATCACGTCTGTCAAAAACTTAGGCTGGCTGTCTGTCGGTTGGGTTATTAGAACCAAAAACATGGACATAACACACTCATGGGCATCAATCACTTCACTGAATACTTGCCAGCTAAGAAATAAATAATTATTATCTTATGGTCCATCTGTTTTCAAATCCACATCATTTGAATATCACAACATTAATGTCCGTCAAAAAAGAACGTGCACAATACATGGTATATATACGAGAAGCAGAGGTCCAGTCACGCATTTCCTGGGAAACACCAGATGTTTTGACTACATTATCACTTTCCGAGAAGAAGGAGAAAATGACGGCCTGAGCGGCTTCAACATGCTGTCTGTCAGAGACCATAACGTATATAATACATAACGCACGAGAGTATAAAATTGTTCTTCACTCACTGAAACTGAATCGGAATGATCAGGGAACTGAGTGAAATACTTCACAATGCATGCTAAAGAGAATAAACGCCACGCCAAGTTAGTGGACATCGATAAACGTGTTGTATGTTATATTTTGACAGACGTTTTTTTGTACGAACTACACATTCTGATTCTGACATGAGTGATCTTGAGATGAGTCCCTGTAATCGTTATGCTGATGTAAGATTTGGGAACTTAACAGGTGATTTTTATGTAGTTTGATCACTATCTTCTCAGTTGTTTAAAAGATTATTAAAGTTTGATGTTGAATTTTTCAATAAAAGATGGTAAATATTAACTTGATTCGTTGCATTTGACCCATTACTTGTGTACTATTTTCATATGCGAAGACATTGACAAAATATCCATAGTCAAACAGCACGAATGAGCCTTGAGAGCTCATTTTGATTTTGTTCCTCACACAAAGCTATCGTATGATTGCATCTGCTACTGTTAAAGTGTATTTTTAGTGCGTGACAGCACTTTGTCACCATTCACTTTTATTGAAAGAGCAGTGTAAACATTCTGCCAAACATCTCCTTCTGTGTTCCAGGGGGAAAATTCAACCATATGGGGTTTGAACGACATGAGAGTATAAATGCTGACAGAAATGTTCATTTTTGGGGTAAACTATCGCTTTAAGGTTTGGATCTGGTTTTGAGCGTTTATGTACACAGCTTCCACATCTCATCGTCTGACACAGAACAGGAAAGGAAACAGAGGTGAGAGAAGACGAGAAAAACACTGGAGCCGAGCAGACGGTGTGTGTGAATGTGCGAGAGAGCGAAGATGAAGACAACCTGGCTAAAGCTCAGGAGAGCTCTTGAACTCTGTGATGATCCTCCAGTTACACAACGGTGCACAAAGATCTCCGGCGCCAGAGAGAGAGAGAGAGAGAGAGAGAGAGAGAGAGGAGAGAGAGAGAGAGAGAGAGAGAGAGAGAGAGAGCCACTGAAGAGAAAAGATGCCACCCATACCAAAGATCCCCACTACATGAAAACAGCCACTAATCAAAACAATCTGCCCAAGGCCTTGGATTCTGCAAGCGGAGAAAAAAAAACTAATGCATGAAATAAAAAGCAAAAGCTCTTAATCAGACGGCATCAAAGAGTCATATGTGAAGCAGCTTTCTGGCTGTGAATTCACAGCACTTTTAATAACCAAAGTGTTCACAAGTCTGTAAAACTCCTCGCTTCCCCGTTGAGTCACACGTATTGTAAATGCCCCCCTCTTTCCACACACAGAACGCCATGTGGTTCAGGGTATGGTGGAAACGAAGGGGAGGGGCTCTACACGTGCTGGGGGCGGGGTTAACCGGTCCAGCTGTGTTTCCCAGGGTGCTTTGCGGCAGCCGCTGGGAGATCAATGGTGAGGCAAGCCTGACAGATCTGTGTGCTGAGGTGTCTGAGGGAGCAGCCTGCTGTATATCATTAAAACTGCAGCGTCTCTCCATAACGCTGTCTGTGACTAACCCAGATAG